GTGCCTTCTGCCCCTTCTAGGAACTCTTTCATTGAGCAGGCCAAGAGCTGCAAATGTTTGGAAGGTGACGGGAGAAGGGTGCTTTGTGTTTGGCAGCCGGTGCTGGCAGTGTGTGTTCGGGGTGGGGGTGAGATGTGAGGGCACGACGAGGACCTCAGATCCCTTTGCCTCTTCTGCCCCAAAGGCGAAGAGAGCATCTTCCGAGGGTCCGGCATCCATGAAGCCGCCTACGCTAGTCCCCGAGGTTCTCATGTCTGAACCTTGGTGAGGGAAAAGAAATTGAAGTCCTTTGGAGATAGGGGGGCTCAAGAAGTGAGGAAGTCTTCCTACCCACCCTAAGGTCTCTTTCCCTTTTGAAAGTGGGGGTTTTGCACCCCGGAGCCGGCTTTTCCGGGCTCCGGGGCGCGCCTGCTCTTCCAAAGAGAAAAAGAACAAAAGGCCGGCGTCCATGTTGGCACCATGACGCAGCATCTCTAGCGCCTCCAGCCCCGGCTGTTTGTGCTGCCGGCCGTGCTCGCTCCTCCCTCCCAAGCACGAGTTGTATTTTCAGGTTCCGAGCAGAGGCGCGGGCTGAGCTGGGCCGCGTTGTGGCCGAGGCTGGGGCTGCGGGCGGCTCGGCCGGGCAGGGCTGCGCTGACTAATGGCGGCCGGTCTCCTTTTCCCTCCTCCTCGCTCCTGCCTGCCCGGGCTGGGAGCGCGGAGGCGATCCCGGGCTTGGGCCCTGGGGACCCAGCGCCCAGGCTCCAGGGATGGGTCTCCGGGGCCGTTTCGGGGACCACAGGCCTCGGGAGCGTCGCGCACCAGGGCTCCCGCGCTCGCCTCTTCCTCGGCGCGGCGGCCTGCGCGGCGCCATGTCTCGCTCCGCCTGAGCTCCGGCGGGGTGCGGAGCCGGAGGGGCACGGAGACCCTGAGCTCTCGGCACCGTGGCCTCCCAGGCCCACGCGGCCACGAGGCCCCGCGCTGGCCGCGCTGCCTCCCCTCCTCCCTCCGTGCAGGAGCCAGTAGCACAGGGCTGTGGGGCTGCCGAAGCCTCCCAAGTGCTGCCCTAGGCACCCCCCACCCCCACCCGCTCCACTGCCGGCCCGGGCCTGCCTCCCCAGTCGCCCTCGGGTAGCCTAGCCCGAGGGGTGGGTCTCCTCTTTTGTCCCCACTTTGGGCTAGAGGCCCTCGCCCTGACTTGGTCGCCCACCCTATTTGGACGCCCAGGGCACCGCCTGCAACCCTTCTCCGTTGGTTGGAGGCGGGGGGTTGGGGCCTGGGAAATCCGACTGGGGCCTCCCCCCCTCTGGAGGGATCCCCTCCCTCCCCCCGGGCGAGGGGTTGGGGTGTGTGTGTGAAGCCTCAGATCTCGGCCTTCCTGGGGGAGGGGATGCGGAGGGCGGGTCTTTGGAAATGCGGTTGAGTCGCCTCCCGTGGCTTGTCGCCCGGGTTGAAGCTCAGTGACTCAGCCAACCCCCCCATCCATTCCAGAGTGAGGGCCGCCCTGTCAGCTGGGAAAGGGGACAGCATTTGTGAGGTTCCCTTTCTATCTAGTTGAGGCATTGGGTTTGTATTTAGCCCATCCGTTCGCTGACCTACAAACTGGGGCTGCCTTAACTGATCATCCGAATTCAACCCCCCAGGTCTTGGCTGGAGATGGGGCAATGTCAGTATCCCCACAGTGGACAGCCCTTGCTTCGAATGGACAGCTGGAGCAGGTCTAGTTTGACAGTCCTCCCACTAAGGTAGGTAAGAGCCCTTTCCCAAGCTGAGAGACAGATTTCAGGCGCTTTGGCCTGCGGCCCAAGAAGGGCGGGTTGCGATCCCCAAACTCTTGCTGGGCTGGTTCTGCAGCCCCTCCTCCACACAGATGTGGTGGCGGAGTGTGTGAAATGGGCGGCCTGCTGGGTCCGTCCAGCCCCGCCTGTCAGCCTATGTTGTCAGGCTTTTGGGGCGGTCGGTTCTCTGCCGAATTTAGCAGCTTACTAGAGCTGCCCTTGCAAGTATTTCCCAGTGGTGTGTTTTATGGTCCGGGGAGGGCCTTGGATGCCTCCAGCTTAGGAAGGCACTAGTGCTGCCAGGCTTGCTGGTTCCTTCTAGGCCCCAATGGGGTGAGCCACCCTCCGATGTCTGGCCTCTAGGGAGGCAAAGTATGGAGAGACAAGAGGTCGCATCCGGCATTCATGGAGAAAGAGGCTTCCTCTCCCTTCCTGGGATTCCCACAATTTCCTACTGGCTCCCAAAAGGGGCAAGCTTAGATAGCCTGGCTTCTAGAATCTGACAAACCTGGGTATGAAACTTGGCTGACCATTTACCGGTGGTGCCATTACATAGTCTGCAAGGTCTGTGCATAATAGTCTCAGCCTATCTCCTCCTCTCCAGAAATGGAGCTAGACTGGTGATTTTCAAAGTGGAGCAGGCATCAGAGTGCAGTGGGGGAACTGGATGAAACCTGTGCGGGTCTTAGACCTTGGCATTTCTTACTGTGTCTCAGGTAGTGCCAGGTTCATGGGCTTGGTAGCTAGCAGTTGGCTTGCCCCCTGTTCAATAAGTGCCACCACTATAAATGGTGTCTCCCTTTAAAACTCTGATCCCTGCCACCCAACACATTCTAGTTTGCCATTACTTTGATAAGCCCTTTGGCTGCAGGTGCCACCGATCACATCCCTCCTCTATTTGGGTCTCAGCTTCCAGTCTGTTCTTGCCCCCTTGCTCCTAGACCCTACTGTGAGGACTGAAGTGTAGCTTGAGGAGCCTGGGAGGCCTAGTTGAAATTTTGTTTGGAGGCACCTGAGTGCTTAATCAATGGCTGCTTGAAGTGCAGCAGCTGTGGGTTAGATTTGGACAGTGCTGATGACCTTGGACGACTGTTTCCCGTGTAAAAAAGATAATACATGCTGGAAAGGGTGGTGAGGGGATTAAGCTATTAGGGGGCTGTTCGCTGGCTCGAGCTCCACCGTACTTGGCCTCCATTGTGATAGGGATTGTTGCTGGCAGTGTCTGTGGGGGTGGAGGCTGTGCTGTCTCTAGGGCTCCTCCCCCGCCAGCCCACTTCCTGAAGCACGTGCTGGAGCCTCCGGGCAAAGGGGAAAAAAAACTGGCTCTCCTTGGGAAGGCAGTCAGCTCGGTTTTTCTTCCAGTACAGTTTGAATCCGGCAACTCCAAGCTCTATGAGCTGTTCGTGGTGGGGTCACGATTTGATTAAGGGTCACCCGTCCATGCCCCTAAGAGAGGAGAGGTGTGTCTTATCCAAGGTCATGAGGCCATTTCTGCAGACACTGGACCGGGTTCCAGGTGTCTTGACTTCCAGCCCAGCGCCCAAGGCACCCCCTCACCCAGCTGTCTGGGTTATTTTAGGCTCCCTCCTGTGCCAGCTATCTGCTGGCATCTGTGCCGAAGAGTTCTCTCTGGTTGTAGGGAACCAGTGTGGTGCTGGTGTACAGAGAGAGCCAGGTGTCCAGTCTTGTATTAGCTGGCCTAGTGCTGGGAAGGCACCACATCTCGCCCCAAGTGGAAGAAGAGGGTGAAAGTGCTTTCCAAATTGGTACAGTTCCCATTGGTACCCCATAAGCCTCTGCTGTCCGCAGTTTGAACCCACTTTGGTCTACCTGAGGTTTCTGCTTCACTTTGGTTAGAGACCTTGGTCCTGGGGGGTCTTTAATCTTGCCCAGTCTCAGATGATTAAGCAATTGATTTAAGTCTTAACCTCCCAGCTGTAGTCAGGAGGGCTCCAGCCAGTTCCTCCAATCCTACCATTATAAAACAATTAGACCCTAAACTGTGGCCAGCACGTGTTTCTTGAAACGGAGAGGTAAGTCTTCTCTCTCCCTCTTCAGGCTCCTTCACCTCCCTTTCGCCTTTCTTTGGCCTCCTTTTCCCTCCTCTCCTGGGGCAAGAGGGTGGGGCAGTCTGTCAAGCTGTTGTTCCTGGCTCTGCAGGGTGCCCCGCCCACTGGTCACCCACTGAGCTTGGGGCGTGGCTGCCCTGGCCTGCTGAGAGAGGGCCACGCCAGCGGAAGGGCAGCTAGGCCTGGGAGGTGGCTGGACTAGCTTTACCACACAGACAGCAGTGTCACCGCCCCTTCCGGTGTTCCCACCTGGCCAGGAGTTCTGGTGTGGAATATGACCTCTTAGCTGAGAAAGTGGTCCACCATACTATTACCACCGCCACCCCCGAGTTTTCTCCAACCTCTGGGAAGTTCCTGCCCATGTAAACCAGGAAAGGGGAAAATGAACCTTGTGCCTGTTTCTAAAATTTTTGTTCTTGTTCCAGCTGTCCCTTCTGCTCAGCCTGACATACTGGGACCATAGGTATGTTTCATTGCACCCAGATTAAGCTGGTTTTCAGTAGGACTTCCAGAAAAGACTGGCTCACCCTCGTCTTGCTCCCAAGAGCTGATAGGCTTCTGAGACCTGGAGAGAGACTTCCCAGTAAGATAAGATAGCTAGGCGCCCCTAGGCACTCTGGCTGGGCCCCCTGCCTTATCTGTTATGCTTTGGCTGGGGTCTTTATCTGCCACTGCTATCAATACCATCTGCATTCGGATGGCTAAATAATTGATTTATGGTGTCTATGTGCAGGGGAGTCTCAGCAGCCCAACCCTCAGTCTCACCAGCCCAACCTGTACTTTGTCCTGAAAGACTGAAATGGCTCAGCCCCTTGCTCTCCTGTGCTTAGTGTCCGTTTGCTTCACTGTGCCTAGTTTTCCCTGTGACCACCTCAGTCTGTCTTCCAGTGGCAAGTTATTGTGGCAATAACCAACTAAAAGTCTCTTTCTTGCCCTCCTAAAATCTCCATGAATTCCTGGTAAATCAAGAGATGACCTGGGTTCCCAGAATATCTTGCAGATAGGGAGAAGTGTTTTTGTTTTCTCTACCCCAAACCCTCCCCAAGAGTGTGCCCACCTCTGCTAGCCTGGCCTACCCTACCCTGACCTCCTCAGAGGAAGCTCCAAGCAGCTGGCTGGGTTCCTGGGTATTTTTAGCTACAGATCCAGCCCCACCATTACCATGAGAGCTGGATCTAAATCCACACTCCAGGCCTGATCATGCTGGGGCTCTTCCAGCCTCCTGGTGAGGCTGAGATGGGTGGGCAGCACAGGCCCAGTGGCAGCTGTTCTGCCTGAACCTGACAGTGCTGGAATTACTCGGTTTTGCTCTTCCCTTCAGCCTTGTGCAGGCTTGCTCTGTCAGAGATCATAGCCTCATTTCTGAGATGGAGAATCAAGACAGTTTTGAGGATTTTGAGAAAAATCAGGAACCCTCTGTTGGATGTATGTAGTAGAGCAGGTTTTCTTTTAAGTGAATTCTTCCCAGGCACCAGCAGTTAACCAGCCTCTGGGGAGCCAGAACCCTGCCTGAGGCAGCCAGAGAGAAGCAGCCTGCAAAGGGAGGTGGGTCTCACTAACTCCAAGCCTCCTTCTCTTTGTGAGATTGTCACTCCATTCTGAGGGCTCCTCTATCTCCTTGAGGTTCTGGGAATTTCACCTCTGGCATGTCTATGGACATTGTCCCTCCTTTTCTGCCAACCTCCTCTGCCTGGTTCTGACCAGACTCATCTCCTGTTCTGGAATCTCTTTCCAGCACTCCCTGATTTAGCCCTAGTTACCTTAACATGAAGTCCTGGCTGTCCTCACCACTGAGAAACTGAAGAGGGTTTTTCGGCTGTAATAGATTCACCCAAGTTGGCATCCTTCCTGCTTCCACTTGGCCTGCCCTCCAACACTGCTCAGTTTAGTGCTTATCCCAGACTTAGCATTCCCTGGTCCCTTGGTTGTAGTCTATAAATCTGTCTCACTTGTGTGCAGAACTCTTACCAAACTCTTCTTCCACACTGTGATCTTGCCACAGGCAGGAACAAGATTGCCTCTCAATAAACAATTTGCAATAAAAGAATGAGTTGCTGAAATTTGTCCAGAGCGCCTTTGGTCCAGGTAGTGTCCCTTTGCCTAGTGATAAGAGGCCTTCCATCTAAAATCCCAGGGTGGATCCTGGTTTCCACTCCTCATTCTGAATGTTGTCTTTGGGTTTCCAGGGGCAGTCCCTGCTGCCCTCTGGTGGTATGGCCTGGCCTTGCACTTGATGGGGGGAAGGGGACCAACCTGGCATTTATGTAACTGCCAGGTTGGCAATTGCCTCCACAAAGTGAAATTTCCTTGACCTTTGCTGAGAACTTGAAAATTGGGAATCTTTAGGGTAGGGTCCAGGCAAGAAGAGCCCGGAGTCCTGCCAGCCCCTCTTTGAAGAAGCTGTCTTTTGCCCATCAGTGCTGCAGATGCTCCTGGGGTGAGGGGATTGTTTGCTTTTGAGCTTAAAACTACTACAGCTAGGATGATCATACTCATGTCATGTCCCAAAGCCTGCCTACTGCTACCATCCCATGAGCACAGGCCTGGTTTTAGTCGGAGACTCTCAGCCCAGAGTAACAGGAAAAGGATGGCTGGCCAATAGTGATGCCAGTGGGCTGTATGGGTAATACTTGATTGTAGTTAAGTTCTCTGGCAATAGCTGCCTGAATGGTGGTGAAGATGAAATTCCTGGAATGAAAACGACTTGTTGGTAGAGATGGGAATTATCAGTCTCCAAATTGCACCAAAGGTCAAATGATCCCAACTGGATCTCTCTTGTCAGCTTCTGGTTGCAGCGGTGTTGTGCTGGGTTCACCCCTCTCACCCCTGCAGAATACTGTTCATGTATTTTGAGTCAACTCTCAAAACAGGCTATTCAACTGCAGTCCGAGCCAAGCTCACCCGGCAGAGGGCGCCCGACCTCCACACTGCTGTTGGGGGAGGAGGGGGTTGGAAGCCAGTGGAACTTAGCCCCCTACCGCCAACCTGCAAACGCACATAAGCCAGGTGCCAGCATCTTCTCTGGAACGACCACTGCTACAACATGTAGGAAAACTGAGGCCGACTTGGGCTGAACCACACAGCCTAAGCAAGGGGCTGAGCAAGAGCAGGGTACTTTCCCTGGATTCCTCAAACCTGCTAGTCAAGGAGTCCCTGGAGGTGGGGGGAGCCGGGCCTGCTAATCGGATGGTCCCTGCTAGGAGGCGGAGCCTGACCTGCCAATCAAGGGCTCTCAGCAAGCAGAGGCAGAAATTACCAGTCCTGCCGGTAGGCAGCGCTCGGGGAAGCCCTGGGGACGAACTGCGCTTGAGTACCCGTTCTTTCCTGCCTCACGTCTCACCCATGGCAGGAACCATATCAGAAAGAACTGGGGGGGGGGGGGGGGGGGGG